TACAAAAGGCAAGAATGCAAAATATATATTTTGGGTATAGGATAATTTATATGGCACTATATATATCATAATTACACTGATATAATTTTAAATTAAAATTGAGAGTACATATAGGAATAATTCATAAGTGAGTATAACTTAGAAACAATTTGTGTTGTATATGAGCATTATAGAAGTTGGTATTATCAATTATTCTAGATGCATAAATCCTCAAAATGACCTTCATGCTTCAAAGGCTAGTTCAAGGGCGGGTATTGACAGGGAAATGCACGGAGTCGTTCGTGTTTCAGAGTAGGCCTTGCAATAACAATGTAGGACAAGCTCTAACAAGGTTTATTACCAATTATTGCCAAGGGCTACAATGGGAAGAAGTAAATGAAATTAAGAAGTTGCGTACAGGGTAAAAATGATGAATCACCGACTAATATTTGTTAAAAGAATTGATAATAATTGAGTTATCAATTGAGGTTAGACTGTTAGTGTTGAATGAGAAAATAGGTATGCTTGTACCTAGTTCCTCTCTTCCTCTAGCCCAAAAAGAAAACAAAGATTACTCTTCTTGCTATTTGGGTTTACAAAAACTATATTTAGTCCTTGCTTTCATTTAGTTTTTTGGTAAGTAATTAATATTCAAGTGTTGTTTATGCGTAGACTTGATTAGTAGTTCACTATTTATCATCATATGTACGACTTTGTTGTAGCCTTGTAGGCTACTTCATATATGCTGGGTAAATTTTATTTTCTTCCAATTCTTTTGGGTAAAACTACTTCATATATGCCAACCAGCATACATGAAATTTGTTTGCTAAATATTCAGCATATAAATGAATGAAAGCTTGAACATGTGTTAGATTGAGTGACCTGTATCAGAAAGTTCAAGTGCGCAAGACAGAGACATACAATGCACATGCAAGACTTCCCTTTCCTGTAGGTGTTGGTTAACTTTCTTTAGCCCTAGCTCCTTTTCCTCTTTCGTTTTCATTTATGTTTTTATTTTCCTCTTTTTTTGATGTAAAACTTCTTGAGCTTGTGATTGAAATGCAATATTTGCTAGATTAGGAAATGGATCCAGTTGAACTTGAAAAAATGAACTAGCAATCCAAACCATCAGCATGTAGGTATTGTTCTAGTAGAGATATACCTGTTGTGCAGGCAAAACTGGATTGAATGCCCCGTCTGGATAATATCCAAACCAAGATGTTTCCTTTGGTATCAATACAGTGTCATGTTCAAACTGTTGATATACAAAGTCACGATGGACAAAAGATATAAGCATTCAATGGACAATAGATGTAAGGATTCAATCACTAAATCTGCCGAAGTTGTGAGATATCTTAAAGCAAAATTTAATTTCAAAGGAACAAAAAGAGGCAGGAAGAGACGGAAGTTCAACATTACCATGATGAGGACCAAATTCTCTAAGCTACTGAACCGTTGCTTATAAGTTGAGTTTCTCTCGTCAGGGAGTTCATTGTTAAGTTTTGGGAGAAACCTACACTTCTGCAAGTAGGCAGGAATATTCTGAAAAAAGAAAAGTTAATATTGGGTTTAGACCTCAAGCTATTGAAAGCAAATGATGTGACTTCACAAGTGTATATTCCTAGTTTTTAGTTTAAAACATGCATAAAATACAACCTCAAGAAATTTTATAATCTAAAATGTATTTTTGCATAGTTTGATCTCATAANTGAAAGCAAATGATGTGACTTCACAAGTGTATATTCCTAGTTTTTAGTTTAAAACATGCACAACCTCAAGAAATTTTATAATCTAAAATGTATTTTTGCATAGTTTGATCTCATAACTACAAAGTTGATCTTGGATTGATTATATCATTCAGTCGGGAGGAAGCAAACTATTGATTCTAGCATCAAGTCATCTGTTAGGGCAGTATTAATCAAATGTGTCATAGCTATGGGAAAGACTATTACTCACATTCGGTAATTTTAAATAACCACTGGGAGCCAAGTGAGCCTGTAATCCACAATAAAAGTTCTGTATGTCAAGCCTTGTCAGAAATATTAGGATATTACTCAAAAATGCATTGTCCTAACTTCTTGTGTCCCACGTATAAATAAAAATTAAGATTGATAGATCATTAAGAATGAGAAGAAAATAATTCATCTTAATTGGGAGTGATAGGGAAATGACAAGCATCAATAATACTAGAGAACTAAAATAAATTTCAAAGATAGATATATACTTGGACATAGTCGGAATACACCTCTGATTTGATTAGCTTGTCCGCTATAATGCAGAACACACCTTTCTGCAAAAAGAAGAAACTCCATCAAATAGAGTAGAGATACACAAGTTAAAGATATGAACATTACATTTTTGTTGAGTATCCAACTCAAAACCAATTAACAATGAGTGGAGAAGCCCTTTCACTACACAAATCAACCTTGGGTGGACGTTTGGACAATGCAAGATACTAGCTCTCTTTACATCCTCTCTCAAGTGGTGGGACCCGGACTCGCATGTGGGGCTAACAATGAACACGGAAACTTTACACCCTCCCTCACCGGGATCCAGACTCACATGTGAGGCTAATAAACAAATAGACAGACAAACATGCATACTGAGATATTCAGATAGGTAGGAGACTTACCCCACCGACCATCTAAGGCCCAAGATTGATACCATATCAGAGCATCTAATCCAAAACTAATTGACAATAAGTGAAAAAACCCTCTCACTATATAAATTAACCTTGGATATTCCTAATCATTTGGTGTAGGATACAAGCTCTCTCTACAGTTACAACCCTTAGAGACATGTCAGACCTAGCTTAGAGAACAAGACATAGCCAGACAACTGACCATGGACCACAAAAAGCACACTGTTGCTCCAACCCATCGACGAGCTAAATCGGCAGGTGACTGACCATGTACCACGGTCTATTGAGTTATCTACTTAATTTATACTTTGTGACATACTCAATGACACTAATTAATGCTCATCCAGGCATATGTAATGTTGGATTAGGTTGGTGTTAAAATATTCCAGTCAACTAAGGCCGATGCAAGATCTATTTTATTCTTGTTAATAAATACTTGCATTTTTAATATTCTAGTAAACATTTGGTGATGTTCCTAGATACAGAAATTTTGCCAAATAGAGTCGATAAATGAGATGTGATGCCTGGATTTATATTTTCAACAAAATGTGATGGTCTTTGGACTTCAAATGTAACCATTGCCAACTTCAGATGCATATTTCTCTGTGTCTTGCTTGGACAACTAAAGGAATATACTCCCATCAAAGTAATGGCAGTTAAAAGATTGAATACTTACACCACATAGTGGAACAGAAGCAGTGCCAGCATGAGGTCCTCCTAATGAGATGAAGTTTTTGACCTGTTATAAACGGGAAAAAGACGATGCATCATCAAAGATTTTCAAGCACAGAAAACCACTACATACAAATACAACTGTACAAAAGGGAGCAAATAAACTAAAATGAAATGGTCAGCGTTCAAGTATAAACCTACTCCAATTTACATCAGTGGCAAAGAGATTATAGGCTGATATGTTCAGGGGAGCAATGTAATCTATAAATGCAACAAGTAATACTGTACATACAAATATTTTACTTTCTTGTTGAATTTAATATGGAAGTCTTAGAAAATCTGTTTGCAGACAATATTGAAATACTGAAGAATGAAATATAACAAGATACTCCGATGCTGCTCATGCTGTGCCTTTGCCATACTTTCAGCTTATGTACTAATTCATGATCAATTGATATAATGTATCACACTCATATCTATGTTCCTTTTTCTTTTGGAGCATTATACTAGGAATAAGCCAGAAAAGTGTAAACAAATTTTAAATCAACATTTGGTAGTGTTTTGTTGAAAGTTAAAATTTGATGGGATTCACCTATGACAAAATTACCTAGAGTTCACCAAGCTAAAAGGCTCTACCTATTGATGTAGTAATCTTCAATTAATAACTCATTGAGTTTTGGCATACTCCACTTATTTCAACTTGCTACTTGTCTTTAAAAAGNCGATGTAGTAATCTTCAATCAATAACTCATTGAGTTTTGGCATACTCCACTTATTTCAACTTGCTGCTTGTCTTTAAAAAGAGAGGAAAGGAATAAACTAGAACAGCAATCAAGTTACTCAATACAAAAAGCTTCTGTAACATCTTATACTAAATGGACCAAAGTAAAATAGACAGGCCGATACCATGTTTTTCAACAAGTTGCTAAATATAGTTCCACCNTGATGTAGTAATCTTCAATTAATAACTCATTGAGTTTTGGCATACTCCACTTATTTCAACTTGCTACTTGTCTTTAAAAAGAGGAAAGGAATAAACTAGAACAGCAATCAAGTTACTCAATACAAAAAGCTTCTGTAACATCTTATACTAAATGGACCAAAGTAAAATAGACAGGCCGATACCATGTTTTTCAACAAGTTGCTAAATATAGTTCCACCAGGGAACCAGGGAAATAATATTCAACTTATAGCTAAAGACAAATGTATGTATGTATGTGTATATATATACACTAGTCATAACCCGTGTCTGAATACACGATAATATATAAAATTCANTAAATATAGTTCCACCAGGGAACCAGGGAAATAATATTCAACTTATAGCTAAAGACAAATGTATGTATGTATGTGTATATATATACACTAGTCATAACCCGTGTCTGAATACACGATAAAATATAAAATTCGAGCGTCCAAAAAATCGATCACACTATATTAAATTTTTTCAAAATATATTAACCATAAATTAATTAAATATTAAATGATTAAATATATGATAGAAATGAGTTGTGTGATATTTTTAGGGAGGAAATATATAAATGATTAAATATGTGATAGAAATGAGTGATGTGATTTGACGTTTGAGTCTGACAAAGGGATGATGAGTGAGGTANTATATAAAATTCAAGCGTCCAAAAAATCGGTCACACTATATTAAATTTTTTCAAAATATATTAACCATAAATTAATTAAATATTAAATGATTAAATATATGATAGAAATGAGTTGTGTGATATTTTTAGGGAGGAAATATATAAATGATTAAATATGTGATAGAAATGAGTGATGTGATTTGACGTTTGAGTCTGACAAAGGGATGATGAGTGAGGTAAGTGATTGGTGATGGTTTTGGGAGAAAAAATATAATTGGGATAAAATTCAAATACACTCCTGTTTTATTATATAGATATATATATACACACACACACAGAGTAGAATTCTATTCAATCAAACAATAACTATGAAAAGAACCTCATAAAGAAAAACAAANCGGTGATGGTTTTGGGAGGAAAAATATGATTGGGATAAAATTCAAACACACTCCTGTTTTATTATATAGATATATATATACACACACACAGAGAATAGAATTCTATTCAATCAAACAATAACTATGAAAAGAACCTCATAAAGAAAAACAAAAGAATGTCTAAATTTTAATGGATAAATAAGAAACCAGTAAACTAGCAGAAATGTGGTTCTTACAGGAGGTCCACCATCACAAAACTCCACAACACCTCGGCCAATTACGTTACCCTGTATACCAATTAAAGTGCAAGATCCAGCTATATGAAGTTACTTAAAAGTCAAAACTCAGATGAATCAAACTTCACTATTAAGCTTAAGCAAACTCAAAGGAAAATAAAATGCAGCATATAGGACCATTTTTCAGCTAAACAAGACAAGAAAACCAATCTTTTTTCGGATGATCGGAATAATAACTCCACAGCAGCACCTGAAAATAAAATGCATTTATCTTTGCTAGTCTCTCAAGTCATAAGGGATCATCCCGCCTCAATAAAGCTGCAAATCCTACATGTTGAAAGATGGTGAGACTTGTGGGGCAGTTCCCCATCTTTTTGACCCAAGAAAGATGTGATAAATTCCACATATGATCAAAACCATCAAAAACTTGGATGTCCTTGAGATCTGACAGCCAATACAATGATCCTAGAGATGAATAACCAATTCTAGGTTTAAAAATATATCATTCGAATAAGTAGTTCTCGGNGATCAAAACCACCAAAAACTTGGATGTCCTTGAGATCTGACAGCCAATACAATGATCCTAGAGATGAATAACCAATTCTAGGTTTAAAAATATATCACTCGAATAAGTAGTTCTCGGTATTTTGAAAAGCTCCAGCTTGTCTCTACCTGGGGGTTTATTTGATGACAGTGTATACAAGTTAAAGCAGTGAGACCAATGTTACTTGAATCGTAGGTCGCTTTGGTACATGATACGGGTACGAGTACGGGTACATGGTGTGACAATTTCTTAGGTACGCGATACGATGAGGGTAGGCATAGATGATATGGTATTTTGGATTGCAATTCGTTTTAGAATTCTTATGTAGATCGTTTTTACTACTATACAATATTATATATTACAGAACATCCATAAATACTAAGTTAGTTACTATTCATTTTATAGTTGTGCATGATATTCTATTAACCAAAAATATATATAATTATAAATCTATATACATGTATGTAGTCAATTAATATATATTTTATATTTGTGCTATATGTTCTAAAGCGAATTGATTTAGGGTTAGTATTATAATTTAGGGTTGTTCATTTTGGTGATCTGGATCGCGANGTGCTATATGTTCTAAAGCGAATTGATTTAGGGTTAGTATTACAATTTGGGGTTGTTCATTTTGGTGATCTGGATCGCGAGCATACCTCATTTGGGATCAATGTACCCAAATCGCGGGTCGTCCGTGGTTGAGTGAATTGTGGTAACCATGAGTGAGACAATGATTAGAAAGATGAGAACATACATCTATGCTGATGATAAGGTAATACAGGTCTTTCCCGGTAAAGTATAAGGCAATGCACTCATTCCAGTATAGTTACCAAACAACTCATAGACAGAAAAGTTATTGTTTAGGCTTCACAAAGGATCCAACCAAAACTAAGCACAAAAGCTGAAGCCACCAAATGTTGGTTGAGCTTCATCTTAGGTCTCAGATCGTTGTCATTTTAGGTCTCAGATCTCGCAATTATTCATTTGATGGTATATATAGCACAGGGAAAGCATTTTCGCAGAACAAAGTTTGTAAGAGCATGTGTAATTTTTCCAGCCACCACACCTTATAGCAGAAAAGGCATCAACAACTTTCAGGTTACATTTGGGCCATCATAATCAAGGATCACGCGACCTTTTATATTTCCTCTTATCTTGTTTCTCTTTATTTCTGTAGCTATCAGATATATATATTTCAGTTGAGAAAAAACACATCACAAATAGTATGTGAATTGTGAAGCCATTCAAGGCATACTCTAAGTGCTGTACAAAATTAAACTTCTGATACAGAGAAATTACCTGGGAGAGACCAACTATGTTGTAACCATTTATAAGTTCTTTCATTTGCTTCACCTACAGATTTAGTTATGAACTTGTCAATGGGATAATTAACCATTGAACCAAAACAACCAGAGAAAACTGAGAGTTTCACCACCTTATCGCAAACAACTTGAGCCTGCCAAAAAACCACACTTCAAATTACAACAAGATTCTGGAAGAAAATTATTAATCCAAGAAATGATATAAGAGCTATAGTGCTCTGCCCTACCTGTTCCTGGAGGGGCATAAACCACGAATCCCATGATCCATCCCCAACCTCTCTATAAAAAGGGTAATACAAGAAAGCATGGATGACATAAATGAGAGAAGTTGACAAACAAGCAAAGAAATGAAAGAGCACTGAACCATGAGGTTGATTCGATTCAGTAATTAACAGAAATGTAAAACTAAAATAAAGGAAGTAAATACAGAATAATTTTTGTATATACACATAGATCTTTCCCATATGAGTTGCTTCCATAATACAAGCATGAGCAGGCACATCCATGTGGCCTGGTCAGTTGACCAAGAGCTAAAAATAATGCTGAATTGCAGACCATTAAGAAGAATGATGTCATATAGGAATTTAAACTTCGCCGAACAGTTTCTGGCACTTCTTGACTAGGACAAAGAAAGCATAATAATGCCAATTTCAGAGAAGAAGATCTTGACTTAATCCAAAAACAAAAAAAGGTGTCCAACAAAGATACTAAAAGAATTTCTGAAACTATGCCTTATAAGGTCAATAATGAACTTAAAAAACAAACAAATAAGGTGCCCAATAAAGATAATAAAAGATTTTCTCAAACTGACCCTTAGAAGCATCAATAATGATTATCACTATGAACAAAACAAACAACATAAGTTCAAATCAAATCTATATAATAAAGTATAATACAATTCAAATTTCAAAAGATAAACAAAATAACTTTTTCTTTTCGCAGTTGAGATCTTTTTAAATTTTATTTTAAAGTCAATCCGATGGTTAATATTAACACTTCAAATTTAATAGGAAAAATATACCACTAAGGGTGTGTTTGAAATGATTTTTTAAAAGTGCTTCTAAAACTTATAATTTCTAAGAAGTATTTAAAAAAAAAAAAATGTTTGGAACTACTCCACCACCCTCATCGCCCCACCACCATCATCAACACCACCACAACTACCTCCACCGCCAACCCCCCCCCATCACCACCATTCCCACAACAACCACTCTCGCTCCCACTATCACCGTCACCACCACCATTGCCACCCCAACACCACCACCACTACTGTCGCTGCCCTATAGCCACCGCCATTGTCCCACCACCCCCATCATCATCTCCTCCACCCCACCACCTCCATCCCACCCTATCGCCACCACCACGCTTCCCACCCCACCCCACTACCACTACCATTACCACTACCACTACCACTACCATTATCACCACATTGTCGGCACTGCCCTACCACTGATTTTTGTTACCGTCGTCCACCACCACCATCCATCACTATCGTCATCTCATTTTTATATTTATTATCACTAGTACCGTCGCCCACCGTCAACACCCACCATCACCATTGATGTCCACCACCACCCATCGCCACCCACTACCACAACACACTATCACTTGTTGTCACCCACCATCGCCGTCAGTCATTGTCACCTACTCCCTACCACATCTACCGCCAATACCACCACCGCTGTTTGCCACCACCCACCAGAATGTTGCCCAAAAGCACCTGTCGTCGCCCATTACCACCATTGTTCACCGCCCACCACCACCGCCAACTACCATCATCGTCACCCACGNCCACCTCCATCCCACCCTATCGCCACCACCACGCTCCACACCCCACCCCACCCCACTACCACTACCACTACCACTACCACTACCACTACCATTATCACCACATTGTCGGCACTGCCCTATCACTGATTTTTGCTACCGTCGTCCACCACCACCATCCATTACTATCGTCATCTCATTTTTGTATTTATTATCACTAGTACCGTCGCCCACCGTCAACACCCACCATCACCATTGATGTNGAACCATGAGGTTGATTCGATTCAGTAATTAACAGAAATGTAAAACTAAAATAAAGGAAGTAAATGCAGAATAATTTTTGTATATACACATAGATCTTTCCCATATGAGTTGCTTCAATAATACAAGCATGAGCAGGCACATCCATGTGGCCTGGTTAGTTGACCAAGAGCTAAAAATAATGCTGAATTGCAGACCATTAAGAAGAATGATGTCATATAGGAATTTAAACTTCGCCGAACAGTTTCTGGCACTTCTTGACTAGGACAAAGAAAGCATAATAATGCCAATTTCAGAGAAGAAGATCTTGACTTAATCCAAAAACAAAAAAAGGTGTCCAACAAAGATACTAAAAGAATTTCTGAAACTATGCCTTATAAGGTCAATAATGAACTTAAAAAACAAACAAATAAGGTGCCCAATAAAGATAATAAAAGATTTTCTCAAACTGACCCTTAGAAGCATCAATAATGATTATCACTATGAACAAAACAAACAACATAAGTTCAAATCAAATCTATATAATAAAGTATAATACAATTCAAATTTCAAAAGATAAACAAAATAACTTTTTCTTTTCGCAGTTGAGATCTTTTTAAATTTTATTTTAAAGTCAATCCGATGGTTAATATTAACACTTCAAATTTAATAGGAAAAATATACCACTAAGGGTGTGTTTGAAATGATTTTTTAAAAGTGCTTCTAAAACTTATAATTTCTAAGAAGTATTTAAAAAAAAAAAAATGTTTGGAACTACTCCACCACCCTCANTATATATTTCAGTTGAGAAAAAACACATCACAAATAGTATGTGAATTGTGAAGCCATTCAAGGCATACTCTAAGTGCTGTACAAAATTAAACTTCTGATACAGAGAAATTACCTGGGAGAGACCAACTATGTTGTAACCATTTATAAGTTCTTTCATTTGCTTCACCTACAGATTTAGTTATGAACTTGTCAATGGGATAATTAACCATTGAACCAAAACAACCAGAGAAAACTGAGAGTTTCACCACCTTATCGCAAACAACTTGAGCCTGCCAAAAAACCACACTTCAAATTACAACAAGATTCTGGAAGAAAATTATTAATCCAAGAAATGATATAAGAGCTATAGTGCTCTGCCCTACCTGTTCCTGGAGGGGCATAAACCACGAATCCCATGATCCATCCCCAACCTCTCTATAAAAAGGGTAATACAAGAAAGCATGGATGACATAAATGAGAGAAGTTGACAAACAAGCAAAGAAATGAAAGAGCACTGAACCATGAGGTTGATTCGATTCAGTAATTAACAGAAATGTAAAACTAAAATAAAGGAAGTAAATGCAGAATAATTTTTGTATATACACATAGATCTTTCCCATATGAGTTGCTTCAATAATACAAGCATGAGCAGGCACATCCATGTGGCCTGGTTAGTTGACCAAGAGCTAAAAATAATGCTGAATTGCAGACCATTAAGAAGAATGATGTCATATAGGAATTTAAACTTCGCCGAACAGTTTCTGGCACTTCTTGACTAGGACAAAGAAAGCATAATAATGCCAATTTCAGAGAAGAAGATCTTGACTTAATCCAAAAACAAAAAAAGGTGTCCAACAAAGATACTAAAAGAATTTCTGAAACTATGCCTTATAAGGTCAATAATGAACTTAAAAAACAAACAAATAAGGTGCCCAATAAAGATAATAAAAGATTTTCTCAAACTGACCCTTAGAAGCATCAATAATGATTATCACTATGAACAAAACAAACAACATAAGTTCAAATCAAATCTATATAATAAAGTATAATACAATTCAAATTTCAAAAGATAAACAAAATAACTTTTTCTTTTCGCAGTTGAGATCTTTTTAAATTTTATTTTAAAGTCAATCCGATGGTTAATATTAACACTTCAAATTTAATAGGAAAAATATACCACTAAGGGTGTGTTTGAAATGATTTTTTAAAAGTGCTTCTAAAACTTATAATTTCTAAGAAGTATTTAAAAAAAAAAAAATGTTTGGAACTACTCCACCACCCTCATCGCCCCACCACCATCATCAACACCACCACAACTACCTCCACCGCCAACCCCCCCCCATCACCACCATTCCCACAACAACCACTCTCGCTCCCACTATCACCGTCACCACCACCATCGCCACCCCAACACCACCACCACTACTGTCGCTGCCCTATAGCCACCGCCATTGTCCCACCACCCCCATCATCATCTCCGCCACCCCACCACCTCCATCCCACCCTATCGCCACCACCACGCTCCACACCCCACCCCACCCCACTACCACTACCACTACCACTACCACTACCACTACCATTATCACCACATTGTCGGCACTGCCCTATCACTGATTTTTGCTACCGTCGTCCACCACCACCATCCATTACTATCGTCATCTCATTTTTGTATTTATTATCACTAGTACCGTCGCCCACCGTCAACACCCACCATCACCATTGATGTCCACCACCACCCATCGCCACCCACTACCACAACACACCATCACCTGTTGTCACCCATCATCGCCGTCAGTCATTGTCACCTACCCCCTACCACATCTACCGCCAATACCACCACCGCTGTTTGGCACCACCCACCAGAATGTTGCCCAAAAGCACCTGTCGTCGCCCATTACCACCATCGTTCACCGCCCACCACCACCGCCAACTACCATCATCGTCACCCACGCCCACCGCCATCGTCGTCACCCATGACTGCCACTACCACTATCGTCACCCAAAATTTACCACCACCACCACTATTACCACCCACGATTGTCACCATCACCACGGTAGTCGCCACCCACCACAATCATCACCGTCTCCAACCACCACTACCACTATTCATCCCTATTACAACTTGTGTTTAAATTCATTTTTATCACCTTTATATTTGTGATTTGATTTTAAGTGTGAATATAAATATATTTATTGTTGTGATTTTTTTTATTACTTTGTGCCTTCAGGTACATACAATAACTAGTAAATAGATAAATCATAAGCCATGGTCCACAAATATAGAAACAGGTTCAAATTTCACATACAAGCTTTTAGACGTTATATGACACAAGATCAGCAAGCAATCAAGCACCCAAACCAGCTAAATCACACCAAAAGTCATACATGCAAAATCNAGGTTCAAATTTCACATACAAGCTTTTAGACGTTATATGACACAAGATCAACAAGCAATCAAGCACCCAAACCAGCTAAATCACACCAAAAGTCATACATGCAAAATCCTTCGGATTTGGACAAGTCACTTAGTTGCTGTGTAAACCGTTTAACTCCTCGATTGGAGCACTGGTCCCCGATTCCTGCCAAAACAAACTAATTAATCGGAAATAAAATTTCAAAAATTGTACATGCATTTATATAGAAACAGCTAATTTTTCCAGTAAAAGTATGAAAACAGAAATTCGAAGTTCGAACTATCAGAAAACAGTTCCAACAAACAATTGACCAATGCTTCAGAGTTCAGATAGAAATATCAGCTCAACATTCAAGAATTCACTTACAGAAGTGAAAAATATCATCCAAAACAAATAGTAAACAAATTCAGAAAATACATATATAAAATAGACAAAGAAATAATGTTTAGATTACCGTGGAGTACGATGAAAGGAGTGGATGATGAAATCGGGACGTAAGAGAAGATAACGATCATTAAGATGGAGATGATCGGTAATGAAATATATGCCATCAATGAGAAATGGTGTGAATAGTCTAATTTCTGCTTCCCTCTCTCTCTCCCTCCAGGAACTTTTGCAGAAAACAGGGACGCAAGGGTTTTGTATTGATCGAAGCAATTATTGCTATTTGCCTCTCTGATACTTGTGCAAGGGACGACCCCTACAGTCAACACCAATTAGAATCCGCGGTGATCACTCCATTAATAAGTTACGTGGGACACGCGGCTTATCTTTTGAGGGTTTAACTAACTTATTAATGGAAGTGATCACCACTACGGTAACTATTTGGCGAAAGATGAGTCTAGATCACCACCAAATTTATTAATGGAGTAATCAGCCACACGTACTTGGCAAGACATGAGTTTGGATTCTTTGCTCTATGGGAAAAATATTGTACTTTAAAGAGGCATCATTTCATATTAAAACAACGTCCTTTCCTTTCGAAAAATAGCACTCTTGTTCTTTTTTTTATTTTTATTTATACATAATCATTTATTTTGACAGGATAAAGACCAAGTAAAAATTTATAAATACAGTCACACATCCGAAATTATCCGATATAAGATAATTTAGTCCCCACCTGCCCCGGTACGAGCACTCTTATTAAAAAACTAACGGTACAAAAGATCAGAGGGTTGGGATGCCGGAGTGGGAAAGAAAAAGTGTATGGAACCAATAGTGTACTTTTTATTTATAAGTTTGGATTTATTCTCACTGAGGGTAAATAAGTCATTTTGCTAAAACACTCCAAGTAGGGGTTCTAGGTTATTTATTAAATGTTAAGGGGTGGCTCTGGTATTTCAAGAAATANTACACATCCGAAATTATCCGATATAAGATAATTTAGTCCCCACCTCCCCCGGTACAAGCACTCTTATTAAAAAACTAACGGTACAGAGGGTTGGGATGCCGGAGTGGGAAAGAAAAAGTGTATGGGTGTACTTTTTATTTATAAATTTGGATTTATTCTCACTGAGGGTAAATGAGTCATTTTGCTAAAACACTCCAAAGAGGGGTTCTAGGTTATTTATTAAATGTTAAGGGGTGGCTCTGGTATTTCAAGAAATATCATGGGCGTGTCAATGAAATTTAACTCTTCAATTCAACGTCTCATTTCACATTTTAGGATCTTCTGTGACGTGCGGAAGAAGTTGGCATACTCGGCATCAACTTCCAGATGGTCAGATGATCCACTTTCCGTTCCAAAGTTGCCNTTCATTTCACATTTTAGGATCTGTGACGTGCGGAAGAAGTTGGTATACTCGGCATCAACTTCCAGATGGTCAGATGATCCACTTTCCGTTCCAAAGTTGCCCAATCTCTCTCTCTCTAGCCAAATTCCCAGGTTCCTTATTTCTCTCTTTCTTTACGGTATATTTTTGTGTGTTTATATATATTTGATCTGTTTCTCGGTTGATTAAATTGGTATTTCCTGTATAGTCAGTTTTACCAGTTTAGTTTGGCAGTGATCCTTGGAATTGACTGATATTCTTTGCCTTCATTGCTATTCAGACTCGATTGTAATGTTTCCCATGTTTATATTATCAAAAATCCAGATTAATTGAAAAAAGCATCCCAACTTGATGGTTTATTATGTGCTTGTTCTATATGTCATAATATGGGCGTTTCAGATGGATTGTAATCAAAATGATTCTGTGTCTAGCCATTGAATTGAACCAATCCTGTTCTTCTCCTTGAAGAAGATCAATTGCAGAGCTTTATGTAGGATCTCTTATTACATGAAAGGCATAATACAACCATTTTTAGTCCTCGAATCAATATTATTGGTATACCATAAAATCAAAGATTTTGCTGCTTTCCTATGAGCTCACATTCAATTCAATCCAACCTCACCGTCTTCGTTTAGTTTATAGGGCCTATTCTTTCTTTCTTTGTTGTTTTCAATCAAAGCTTGTTTTACATGATTGACTACATCACAAGCATCAAGTATAGTTGAGCGACGATTGAACTATTCAACAGTTACTAATTGTAGTTTCTAGTCCATTTACTTCTTTGCAAAGATAATGTATCACATTGTTAACAAGGGTACCCACTTGGGTTCTGGAAGAAAATATCTGCAATTGTATAAGAACAGGTGTAATTTGAAGATTAACAAAGCATTACTTAATCTTATTTGCTTCAAATTTTTTGTTCCTATTTGCCTTCAAATTATTCTCACGAGAGATATTTACTTACCAGAAAGAAAGTCTATTATCATTGAGCTTTGGCTTCTCTAAACCCTACACCAGACCATCTTTTTTAATCAGTATTATTGCTTTTCTTGAATAAATCCAACTCAAACTACATCACTTCTCATCTCAAATCCTCGTTTGTCATGTTATTTTTCTTTTATGTGCAACTGAAATAACAATTCTGTCTTGGTCTATTCTCTGATAATATCCAAAAAAGACTACATATCAAACCATTCGAATAAATGGCAATGCTATTTGTGGTGAGTCCAGAAATGCCTTTTTACGGGAAGATTGGTCAGGCAGAAATTTGGATCCTATAGGTATAAACTACATGCCTAGAGCCATCTATGTATGTCATAAATGTGGAGATATTTGACCACTTCTAAAATTGTAATTTTGTTTTCCACAGCGAAGATGGGCTGTTTTGTTTTACTATTAAGAAATGTGCCATAATATTCTGAGTAAAAATGTATAAGCATTGGCTCCTTTTATGCATTTATTTGTAGGCTTGACAAATGAGAGAAAAATATTTTTTGAAAGGTCATGTTCCTGCAAACATGCCTAGCCTGAAGGGAAGTGTAATTATAGTTCAGGAAGCGACGAGATGTTTTATATAATATCTTTGCTTATCTGTTTTCGGAGTGCATTTACACTTCTCTTGTATTTTAAAAATTACTTCACCCACCTTCAGATTTGCAAAAATTGTCTTGGTCACCCTTTGTCGTCTGACCATTAATTTTGCAATCACAAATGCTAATACATTTAAGGTTTTGCTTCAAGCTGATGTTTTCAGAATTAAATCAGGCACATAAAACCTGAAGTTTGAGTAGGCAACAGGCAAATTTCTTTTGATATTACCCTTTGGACTTGATAAGCACTTGATGGAGAGGAGAGAATATTCGTAAGGTAATCCAGGACAATTATTGTAATCCTTAGAAACACATTGCAACGAAAAAAATGCTTAAACCTAGGGGAAATTTTTTGTTACTCGGATGAACTTGTTTTCTTTTATATTCATTAGTAGAAATGCTACAATTAGTTCCTCTTTGTAATTGTTACAGTCTGAGTTCCTGCATCAGTGATGACCCAGCGTACATTGGAACAACCGGAAAAAAGGGTAGTTGAACTGTTAAGAGATAATAATGTATCAACCATCGTTCTTGCTGGAAAACCAGGAATTGGAAAAACATGGATGGCGAGAAAAGTTAGTACTCATTCCCTTAGAAAGCACTTGTTTGGCATAACCCTTTGGGCATATCTGAACAGAAAGTATGATGAGAGAACTCTTTGCGAGAGTATTGCTTGTCAACTGTCTTTACTTACCACTTCTAAAGAGTGGCAAAGCAATGATAACGAGGAGGTAGAAGAGGAGGAGGAAAACTTGGATGTCTTGAAGCGGAATATATCTGCAACACTTGCAGAAAAGAGCCTTCTTCTAGTTTTGGATGATGAGGGCAGCAAAATGAGTGAACACGAAATTACAGCACTGCTGCCTTTCCCCCAGCTAAAATCATGCAAGAAGTTAATTACTTCAATTAACAAAGATGGAAGACATAAATCTATGGATGGTAAGGAAGTGGTTGAGGTCCTGCCCTTGTCTATTGAAAAGTCATTATCTGTATTGAAACAAATAGCTGGGGCAAAAGTTTTCGAGAGTCCAGGAGTGGAACGTCTAGCTGAAGATTTCATCAAAAGGAACATGGGTTTAACACCTATTTCAGTTGTCATGCTAGCAAAAGCCCTATGTTATAGAGGACATGGTTCTGATGTGCGAGTTCTGGAACGTGCTTTGGAGGAATCATCTGGTGATGGGAACTACAGCTTTATGCAGTTACTGTGCAGTGGGTATGATGAGGTGCCAGATGGTGTTCTAATTGACTGTACCTGGCAGGGCATCCATTTCTTTCGCGACCGTGGGTGCATCCATTTCAGTGAATTGATAGCTTACTGGATAATGGAAGGATATCTTGGTGATATTGATAGTATGGAGAAGGCTTATGAGGAGGGACATCGTGTTCTCATGGAGCTTATGGATTGTCAGATGCTGAAAAAAGTTGAGGGGGATTACATCATAATGGAAAGAACAGTAATGGATCTGGATGAGCTCAATCGCTGTGGATTTGGTAGAACAGCCAGTCTGGGATTGGCTATTGTGTTTGAGGATGGCAAGTGGGATGGTATTGGGAGAATTATGCAGGGAGACGGTATAATGAAAGCACACCACAAAGGTAAAAACACAAAGAAATTCTCAACATTATTGCTCGATGGAAATTGTCTGAGCAAGGAAATCCGAAATAATTTCTTTGAACCCTACCTGGACCTCCAATTTCTTGCCCTTTTCAATCTCAGGCTTGAATCACTGTCATCATCGTTGTCTATCATGAATGGGCTTAACGTGCTTGTAATCAGGGGCTGCACTTTATTGGTGGACATCGGATCCATTCGAGAACTTAAAAATTTATCTGTACTGGAAATATCAGGAGCTAGATCATTGAAAAGTATGCCAGATGAATTTTTTACACAAATGACTCAACTTCGAAGTCTAAACCTATCTGCCCTTCAGATCGAAGTGTTACCTCCATCGTTTTACGACCTTACGGAACTTCAATGGCTCATCCTTAAAGACTGTTCTTGCTTAAAACGAATGCAGAGTTTGAAAAGATTTGAAAAACTTGTGGTGCTTAATCTTTCAGGTGTTACCTCTTTGGACAATTTTCCTGAAAAAACCTTCAGACCATACCAGAAACTTCAAACACTTGATCTGTCCACTACCAGAATGAAAACTGTACCTCTTTTTGGTGATATTGGAGCGCTAACTCATCTGTCATTAAGTGACTGTCGACATGTTGATAGACTGCCCAGCATTAAGTCGTTAGCCCATCTCCAAGTTCTTGATCTTTCAGGTACTAGCATCAAGGAATTCCATGATCAATCATTAGAAGCTAATTTTGGCCTTAAAATTCTTGATCTATCCAGAACTCCTGTATCTTCACTACCTTCAAACATTAGCAATCCTTGTCAGCTCTATTTAAAAGGTTGCCTCCATCTGCAAGACCTTCCATGCATAGAGTCACTTAAAGACCTAGAGACACTTGATCTTTCAGGTGCCAGTAGTCTGGAAAAGATTGATGAAAAATTCTTTAAAGATTTGAGAAGCCTTCGAATTCTCAACCTTTCAGAAACCAAAGTCAATGGTCTGCCTCCCCTTTTTACTCTTTGTAACCTTCGTCAGCTGTTACTTTCATGTTGTGAATGCTTGGTGAAGTTGCCGGCCTTGAATTCCCTTAGCAAACTGGAGGTTCTTGATCTTTCAGGTTGTAATACTTTGACAGTGATAGAAGATGAATCTTTTGAGCAGATGTCTTGCCTTCAGAGACTCATCCTCTCTGGTACAAAGATTGAAAGGCTTCCATTCCTTTCAAACGTTAGCAGCCTTCGCTACCTCTCATTGAGAAAATGTATAAACCTGGAAATGGAAGTCGAAGCATTGAAATCTCTCTCAAACCTTGAGGAGCTAAATTTATGTGGTATCAACTGCTTGACTAGAGCGGATTTCTTGGAGCACATGAGCCACCTTCGTGTTCTTGACCTCTCTGAAACCCAGATTGAACAGCTACCGTCCATCTCACATCTAAAAAACCTTGTTGATCTTTCTCTGAGGGGTTGTCAGCGGTTAGAAACAGTGCCAAACTTGGAAAAACTTACAACGCTTGAGATTCTGGATCTCTCTGGAACTGTGGTCAGGCATCTGCCATCCCTTACAAATTTTAGCAACCTACGCCAACTCTTGCTTAGAAATTGTTTGAGCTTAGAAGAGTTTCAAAATATTGAGATGCTTGATCCATCTGAAGCCATTCATAGAGAACTCCCTTATGGAATCTCAAAATTGACTCAAGTTGAGCATCTTGATCTGCCAAACATCAGCAGGAGACGAGCTGGCTGCGGAAAGATACAGTGCTTGCCAGAAGAGCAGTGGGATATCTGCACTCTGCCCGTATCAGTGTCAGACGGCAACGGACCTTTCGTAAGTTGTTCAGTTTTTTCCCAACCTTTGGAGAAAGATCCCCTGTTATGGGAGACAAGCTTCAAACAATTCCAATTCTCTGTTCGTCCCATCGAGAAGGAAGATGAAATAGGAGGTACATACATTTACAAAGATGAATTGATCTACAGAGATATTTACTTCAAGGCAAGGCATTTCTCTTATTTAAAAGAGCACACGTGGTTACTAGAGATCAATGGTTTTCATTATTACCCCCGTGGTATCGAGGATGCACTCAGTCATGCTGAATATGTATTTCTGTTTGACAATTCATTTGTAAAATGCTTATCTAATTTGGGTGCTGACAACATCAAGATGATGAGGGGCTGCTGGATAAAGAGATGCACAAATATGGAGAATGTTTTCAATGTGGACAAGGTAGAAGATACTGCAACAATGGAGAAAACTTTGGAGCTTCTATGGATTTCTTATGCTATTAGGTTGGAGAGAATATATGGTGGGGACCTGAAATATGAGGGCTTCCGCAACCTTAAATGTTTGTATTTGGATTGTTGTCCGAAACTTCCAAGTGTTTTCTTGTCATCCCATCAGCCGCAAAACCTTGAAATTCTTCATATCAAATTTTGTGATGAAATGAGGACTCTGTTGGAACATACTACCAACAAGTCTGCATTGCCGAAGTTGCCAAAGTTGCGCATATTACATCTGTGGGAACTCCCAAAATTCAGGAGCATTGGATGCGTGTTGCCATCTTTGCTAAGTTTGCAAGTTGGGGAGTGCCCCATGTTTGAAGATGATCTCTTTTGCCACATCTGCCAACAAATCTTTAGATCCTCTAAATTAATTTCGGTGATGCCATGTCAACAAGATTCCATTGTCACATTATGCCCAAGACTACAGACGTCGAGCAACGATGGAAAATTATCCATGCCCCAAGAATAGAAAAAGGAAGTAAAACACGAGTCCTTGAGTTGCAGTACTTTTTTTCACCTTCTGCATTCCATCTTACAGGTTTTGTCTTGATTCAGTTCATTTTATCATCATTTTAGATTCTCAGTTGCCTCCATTACCGGCTTTTTTATGCTTATTTTAAGTTTGTTGATAGATTTGGTTACTTGGAATTTTAGTTTAAACAAAGATAGTTTATCTTAAGGTGTCCTTTTTATTTCTATAGAGCAAGATTGATAAGAACTATTCCATGTGACCATGATAAACTGATTGCCTGTACAAACTAACTTTATGAGCAGAATCTCCTTAGATATCAAAGTAGCACATAACTAACATTTGGATTGATGCAGTTTTGCTTCACGGTCAAGACCTTAGGCTCTCGGCACTGCAGCACCTGACCAAAGCTACTGCTTTGGATGGCTACTTATTTCTCCGGTACGTCCTCGTGCGTAAGAACAATTGGGGCCAAGATTCTGCGTATTGGCAGCGGTAAGGCTTGAATCCAGTGTAAGGAGCTCCCTTTGCCAAACTGGTACAACTCCTTGGTGTTGGATGTACATATCTTTGTTGTGCTCGAGATTCATAAAAAAAAAATGATTTTTGCTCAAAAGAAATGATTTCTCTGCACATTTCAATACTTCAATTTCCAATTTTCATTGTTGAATGCTCAACCCAATTATGTATATTTGGATCTCAGTCCTTAAAGCCATGCGCTGGCCTAAATGATGTTGTTGATTGGTCTACAGTTCACTATGTTGTTACTAAATATCGATTTGAATTCAACCTTTACATGAGAAATTCCTTTATTTTTCTCTTTCTACTTTTTGTTTTCCACATTTATTTATCACAGAATGTGAGGAGGTCGCGAAACACGATCGCACTTGGGAATCATCTAGAGAAGTTTCTGGAGGGATATAGCTGTTATGGGGACGTATATCCATGGACAAAAGAGCACTTACTCCATCAAAATCAATAGTTAGAATGAACTTAACCTGTTCTGAGTATTAGTGAATATCAACTGAGTATTGGACAACTTTTTCTAATGAAATTCCTATGTTTTAGTCATTTCTTTGTTCACTTTACACTATATGCACATTTCTTTCCTCTGTTTCAGATAACTGCAAGATCATCAGCTGTTGAACATATAGAGCAAGGAAGTGTCTAAAATGTGATTTAAGTTGTATGCAAAAATGTTTGTACATTTTTTGGTTTTCTTAACGTACCACCTCCCTGTGCACCAGTTATGATAAAGACTCCGAACAGACTCAGCTGACTTGGCTTGCAGGAACGCAGGTTATCTGCAGCTTTACTGATTCCAATCAAAAGCATAACAGCACTGAGAGTTCTCAGCCTTGCATGAATCCCCACCGAATGATCTCTCATCTTCCAATGGAGAAATGAAGACCCATTAATCTGTACCTATAATCAATAAAGCATAAGATCGCCAGCACGGGGGGGGGGGGGGAA